AACGGCTTTTGCTTGCTTAATTGTCAGAATATAGTTTTAAATGCACTATTATTACTTGTATTACAAAAGTTGCTGCATGTACGTCACCATTCTCCCGATTTCAAATCCTGGTGTTTCATAAGGATGGAAAAGAATAGTTCATAATTTAAATTGGGAAGTTAGTTTTGAGTTCTGAAACTCATTTTCACTGCCTTTATTTTAGTCAAAATTAAGTGCTAGAGTGATGCGCAATGAATCGTGGGTAAATTTTCCTTTCCATTTCTTGTGTCCACAGTGCCCTTCAAACTGTAAATGTTCACTCCCTTAAGATGGCTGAATACCTGGTGAAGTCACTACACCACCAACCACACAGCACATGTCCACTTTTAGACACTGATAGTAGACAAATTAAAGAGTTTAGTGAGAGTGATGTGTGTGTTGTAAATGTGTTTGAAGCGAGTTTCAGTGGACAGAGCCAAAAGTGCCTCATACTTGTGTTAATAGTTCTTTGCTGAAGAAGACGACCGGTTAATATCACTTTCATCAACATTTTATTAAAAGCAAGGGATTCATTCCCAAATTGATGGACAGAAAATAAATATAAAACAGTTATGTACATTTAGGGCAGTGGCTTTTCAAAGGCTTTCAGACATAAAATTTTATTACAGCATATGGAAGGCAAATCATAATACAGGAGGAAATAGTTCATTCAGATGGACTATAAAATATTTCAGTTAAACCATGTCAAAATGAATATCTATTTTTAAATAATTGACTAATACAGTTTCATAGTTAACCTCATCATCACATCATTTCATTATGAATCTATCACATATATCCTATGTTTTATTGATCTGGAGTCAGTGAGCTGAAGGTTTCAGCACTGTAGTAAGATAAAGTCATGTTAGAAACGAGGGTTAGTTACACGCATCATGCATAAGTTGCAAATATATTCATCAATATGAATCAGGTGTTTATCTTCTTAAAACAAAAGTAACTTCAAAAATACTTAGGAATGATACATAATGCATAACACATTCTTGAGTTAACCGAAAATTATCGTATATTTTTTATGGCCTTTGCTTATTTTTACCACAAGATGGCAGTGAATTGACTTGAAATATGAATTCCCTCCAATCATACTACTACTACTAATAATAATAATTGCTCCAAAAAGAAACAAAAAATCTTCAAAAACTTTTTGATTTACATTTCAACATGACTTTTTAAACCTTCTACATGAAACTGCCATCAGTGTGAGTGAGCCATTACTCTGCTGTTCAGTCGGCCACAAACGACTAAAATATTGAACAACTAAACCAATTCAATCAAAGTCCAAACTGCACGATTCAGTGATTCGGAGGCAGTTATGGAAAACTCGCTAATCACTTATTTGATTTTAAATTCAGTCAAAAGATGCTGTGAAGCATGAAATTGGTGGCTTAAATTAGCTTTTGTGCACATTCACGTTTCCCACAATTAACAACACTTAAAAGTATTTTCACAGTCTCTATTTTTTTGTTTGTTTGTTTGTTTTTACAGATTTCTTAACACTTTCAATAAATACATCTGTGGAGTTAGCATAGCATCATAACAAGAAACAGAGAACTGTAAAGAAGAGAAGCAGCCCTAATGTCTTGATTTATATTACAATGCTGTCAGCAGCTAAATGAAAATGCAATATAAAACTAAACTGAATTGCACTTGCGATTAAGAAGGTCAAAGATACAGCGGCAGCTGCGCGACTCTATCAATGAACACGGACCAAATACTGCTCAAGACCTCAGAAAACACAATATCAAAGAATACAATCAGAGTCTGCAGGTCTAATTAAGGCAGTAGACGAGAATCACATGACAATGAGAAGCTTGATCTGAATGTCTGGCATGGGAAACAATAGGGCGAATTCACTAAATGCCTGCGCCACATTAGCATCACATCGCATTATCTACCCGCCATCCAACTTAACCTGGTGCTAATATGAAGCATATTACCAGATTCAACCAGATTCAAAGGTCAGTAGCATTCCCCTGATACAATTAACACCGAGCTGTTATTGCCTGCACAAAGCAGACCGTCGCTGGAGCTTAAAGGGATAGTTCACCCAAAAACTAACATCCGCTGTTAATTCACTCATCCTCAGGCCATCCAAGATGTAGGTGACTTTCTTCTTCAGTAGAACAGTAAAGAAGTGTTTAGTTGAAACCGTGGTGACTCATAAAATTAAAGTCAATGGATACTGTCACTTTAAAACTCATAGACAAGTATAAAAGTATACTTAGGCCCCATCCACAAGGGGTTTAGCTGTATACGCATACATTTTGTATCGTATAGGCGTTTTGTCCAGATGGATCCGGCATTTTGGAAGAGTGAAACCGATATTTTTTTAAACCGGGTCCCAGAGTGGATAAATCTGAAAACGCCACCCTTGCGTTTTCGTGTGGACAGCGAATCCGTATATTTTCTGAAACAATGACGTCATCGGCCCACGTCTAACCTCTAGTCAGACACCGCTACGTCACGTAACAGCAACAAAAACATGAACAAACACTGAACGATTGTCTTTTTATTAACTAACATTAACACAGATTAATACATGTATTGTTCCATGTTCGTTTGTATACCGCACGCAAGGTTTATGCGCATAGTCCAAGTGTTCTTCTCCGTTTTTAGTGTATCTCTGTGGCAGAATTACAGCGTGCTGTACATGCTGGCCTGGCATGTATACTACATCGTTTTGTGTCGGTTTTGTGTGGACGCAGATATTTCTTGAGACGAGGGGGGGGGGGACAGATCAGATAGGGTTAGCTCTGGCTTTGTGTGGACGTAGCCTTCGTTTTTGTACGCATGCGCTGAACGCATAGCCTTTCAAAGTATACTCGATTTGAGGTGAACGCGAATTCAGGTGGTCAACACATGCGCTCTAGAGAGCTTCATCAACCCCCTTACACAAGTGCTTGTCAATGCAGGCATCTGTTGTTTTTGTTGTTGTTCTGTATCTTTATGGCTCATTTCCACTGAGGTTCAGTACAGTACAGTACGCAATTATTTCCGTTTCCATTGTCAGCTTGGTGGAAACGAGCCATTAGTTTCATTTTCTATTGTGAAACACCGGTCCAGGTCAGTGCTGCCACCTTGTGGAACAACTGATTAGTGCAAAACCAAGTCAATGACGTGTATCAATGCACGCCAGTATTTTGCCCCATTTCCAGTCGGAGTGACTGTCAGGCATCCGAAGTGAGTTTTGATTGAGTAACTTTTAGTAGAGATGCGAGAAACTAACCATTTCGAAGCTTCGAATCAACTGAACCAATTGCTTCGCAAAATGATTCACTGTTTCGAAGCGCTCGAAACACCACACGCGGGTGATGCCTGCTGGTCAAAAGTGTGTAAATGCAATAAAAACACAGGCAAAAACATGCATAAAACAGCTTTTACGAACCCAATGAAAATGCTTTCTTGAAAGTATAATATATTAAATGCAATCAAAATAATAAAATACCATTAAAAATTAAGTGTCTGTAAAATATGCGTCTTTAAAATAATTATTATTAATTTGCAAGGGCTTGTTTTGTTTGTTTTATGGAGAGCTTGTCTAAACAGGCCAGTAAGAGACTATTAACTAATACTCATACTTTTAATTACACAAAATGTCTACAAATTGATCAAACTGATCCGAGATCGTATAACCATAGACCCTGATGCAGTAGTTCGCCGCAGCAGAGCGATCGCAGTGAACTCGCATGATTCACGGGTTCACAGAGATCGCCCCCCTAAATGCCGAGTTCACACTGCACGATTTTCAAACTCGTCGGATCGCCGTTGTTTTCACACTTCAGTTGCTGCTGTGTTCACACTGCACGATGGATCGGCGACAGGGGGTTTCACATTGCATGACTTTACAATAGGAAGAATCGCCGACAGCTCTGTCTGGTGCAGGGTTGCCAGGTTTTCGCTACAAAACCCGCTCACTTACTACTCAAAACTAGCCTGAAAATAGCCCAATTGCTTTCGAGGGGGTCCCCCAGTAAAAATCGCGTTCAGGGGTAAAATACATTTTTTTTTGGTGGGGTTCTCCTGGTACAATTCACATTCCAGGGCCTAAATATCACGTTATTGGGATCGGTTCAACCTGCTAACATAAAAAACAACCGGTGGCATTCGCAGATTTGGCAACACTGGTCCACAAACTACGTTTCATATAACTCCTCCCTGAACTTCCCGCTGCCCTGTATCTTGATCTCTCATTGGCTGTAGGTCATCGCCGATGTGTTTTTCAGTCAGAACTAATTTCACACAGCGTGATTGTGAATCGACTTGCATCGGTGATTCCCTCAGATCGCGTCTTCGATTTTGACTCGGCATAAGACGAACTACTGAAATTTCTAAACGTTTCGAAACAGTTATGATGTAACGAAGCCTCGTTTACTGAAATCACGCGACTTTGGCAGTTTGATACGTGCTCCAAACCACTGTTTTGAAACAACTGATTCGCAAAGGTTTCGAAGCTTGATGAAGCAGTGTTTTAAAAGTGGCCATCACTAACTTTTAGATCTTTGCTGCTCGAGCCGCAAACTGTTTCAGTTCAGTCTGATTTGGTGAACTGGTTGAACGAGTTCACAAAAAAAAAAAACGGTTCAAAATAATGATTTGTTCACAAACTGGACATCACTCTGTAGCGTTTGCCTGAGGCTGTGGATTACAGGTAATAATGTTGCAAATAATGTTCAGTTTCTTGCACAGACCAATAATTTCGCTTCATATGACCTCAATATATCAACAGGAGCCACGTGTATTAATTTTGTGTTGCCTGATATGCTTCTTTTTTTTTTGACTCTCAAAGTGACGGTAGACTTGCATTTTATGAATAAATGCCTACATCTTGGATGAGTAAATTAATAGCATGTTTTCCTTTCTGCGTGAACTATCACTATAATATGTAGATAATGTGATGTTTGTTGCTTTTGTTCCTCTTTTGCACTGCAAGTCACTTTGGATAAAAGCATTTGCTAAATGCATTAATGTTTTTGCACCTCATTTGTTAAATTTCTTTTGTTAATCAGGTGCTAAAACAGTGCAGGCAGTGTTTGCAAATGAACAACACAATCACTGATTCTTAGTGAATTCACCTAGAGAGTTGCGGCCCTAATGTCTGTTACTCCATTCAATATAAACTCTATCAAACGTCATGTATCATTAGCTGTAAAGCACAGGAGGCGTAAAACTGCACCGTATACTGAGATGGCACTTGTGTTTTCATGTCTCACATGCGTCTCTTTGTGCACATTTCTTCATCTCATGAAAGAGTCCATCCAAATGTTCCCCATGAAACGTCCTCTCTCATTCAGTCCTCGTTGTTTGTCATTTGGCCCCGGCTTTCTTCAGGAGTCTGTGACCCCCGGCTCTCTCTCGTCCTCATCCTCGTCCTCGTCCGTCTCCTGTTCATCAGATGGGAGCTGCACGCGTTGCTCGTCCATTCGTTTGGCCTGAACTCTCTGTATTAGGCTGAAGAAATCCTCGTCTGGGACGGTTGGGGCCCGCGGACCCCCTTCAGGAGGAGAGCAGCGCTGGTCATCTATCCTGGATGACTGAACACATGCACAGTGAAAGTCAGTTCGCTAGGTAGAATAGAGCTCTTTTTATTGAACTATTTACACACAATCAGTGCTGCCATTAACTTTACATCTTTCAAAACTTAACATGTTTTCCGGAAGGATTGTGCTGGCAAGCTGGTTTAAACCACCAAGACAAACTCCAAATGAATTTCATTTTGGCTAATTCAAAATGATGCCACACCCATTCATTCTTTGATTTTGCTTTAAGTATATGACGTTATTTATGTACTATTATATTAGTATTATTTATATACTATTATAGTACTTATTAATGTTTTGAATTAGCTTTTATTTTCCTATTTGCAGTTTTTATTTAAAATGTTAGTCTTTTTTGTCATTTTTCATATATATATAGCTTTATTTTATTTCAGTTTTAATTTTAGAAGTTTTATAACTTCAACTTAAATTAGAAATGCTGCCTTGGCAACCAACTGAAATAAAATATGTTGAAGTGATAAATGAAGTTTAAATTGAAAACTTAAATTGAAACACAAATAAAGCTAAATAGAATTTTTAAAAAAAAAATTAATGACAAAAGCACAAAACAAAATTACAAAAATGTACATTAAACATTTAACAAAAACATACTTTTTTTTTGTTTGTTTTAGTTTTAGTAATTGTAGTACTTCAACAAAGTTATTTTATTTCAGTTCAGTTAATTTTCAAGTATTGTTTCAAGCATATTTTTTAGCTTCAATCCAACAATTTTAACCTGTTTTAGTTCATAGCCTTGGGAGCACGCTCATAATATAGGCCATGTCCACACGTACACGGGTAGTTTTTTCCATCTTCCGTTTTTAAAAAAATCTCCGTCCACATGAAAACGCAAACGCATGTTATGAAGCACTGTCAAGAGCATGCCAAACCAACAGGTGGCGATATAATCTCAACTGTAAAGCCATGTTGGCAAATCAGAAGCCTGAAAAAGTTTCCAGTAGGCGGAGATAATGGTGCATGCTCCAACGTCACAAGCCAAAAACTCCGGTTTCGCTGTCTACACGATAACACTGCAACCGGAGTTTTTGAAAATCTACACCCTGGCAGGCGTTTTCAAAAATGTTCAGTTTCAGTGACCTGGTGCTGCGTTTGCGTGTGGACGAACGGCCAAACTGCGTTGAAAATGCTGCGTTCGTGTGGACAGGGCAATAGAGAGATGTTTCTAAGCAGCTCACTAGAGTTTAGAACAGAACTAGCGTCACTGTGAGATAAAATACACCAGACATGTTTAGTCTCAACGCGTCTGATTGAAGGCTCTCTGTCTCACCTGGCACTTTATGAGCATGTTGAAGAAGTCATCGCTGGGCTCCTGAGGGTCGCTCTCTCCACACAGGTGGCCCAGGTTATTGTGGGTAATTCTGAGTCCGGGCAGGTTACTGACGCTCACCCTCTGATCGTCCAGACGACGGCTCTGAGAGCTGGCGATCAAATCGAACAGTTCTTCGGTCTGAGGAGACGTCAGCAGACTGGCATCTGAGAAACAACACAAACAACTCAACCTTTATGATTTTAATCTGTGATCATTTCACACTGATGATGAGCTTCATCAAATCTTTGGTCAAAAGTGATCCTGACTGAACTCTTGTTCATGCGAATTAGAAAATGCAAATGCATTTGTTGCAAAAAAAAAATAAAAATTAAACATGTAGTACATTATAAAAAATAATATGACTTTAATATTACAAAATTACTAAAACTTTAACTAAATTTAAAATGAAAGCAGAAAATGCAAGATAAAAATGTATTAAAAATATTGACTCTAGCCATTAGTTGACATTAGTTAATGCATTAACTAACAATGACCAATATAATTGTTACTGCATTTATTAATCTTTGTTAATGTAAGTTAATAAAAATCAAACTGTTTATTGTGAGCTCGATTAATAGATAATATAAACAGACTCAACCTTTGAGTTGCTTTTTAAAATGTATGAATAAATATTGAAAATAATTAAGAAATGCTTTAGCTAACTGCATTAGTTAACATTTAACAATGAAAAATACTTCTAATGTTAGCAAATGCAACCTTATTGTAAAGTGTTTGCATCATAAATTTGCATCATAAACTGCTTTCACTGTATGCAAATAAAGCAGCGTTAACATTCATCAAAATATCTCCAAATTCTTACGGGTTTGAAACCACATGAGGTGAGTAATAATCTCTTTTTCTTTAAGGACTAGTGAAACTTCAGCAGATTCTGTGCGATCTTACGCTGTGACTGACCGATCATGTCATTGATTGTGTTTCGATCCGCTCCTCCTGCGTTCTCTCCATTGGACGGCTCATCCAGCTGACAGCGCTGGTCATCCATACGGCTGCTCTGAAACTTACTCAAAAGGTCAAAGAAGCAGTCCTCATCTGACGCGTCACGAGCCAGTTTCTGCAGAAAACACACAGCAGAACATCAGCTCATCGCTTATCATTACAAAGTCAGCTGTAAACAAACCCAGCAGAAACAGTAATCAGACCGGTTCCATTCACAGCATCACATCAGTGTGCAACATTTAAAAGATAATGTAATATTTATCATTTTACATTCATCTATCGCTCTTACAACCTTTAAACCTTGAATGAAAAAAAGACCCTGAATCACATTACTCTATAATGTAATGTGACACATTTAGTGACAATGCAGTATTAACAGAGCGTAATGAAATTCGGGTTCCTTGGTCATGTGTTGGTGTATCTTTCCTGACTTGTGAACGCTCATGTGAGCTCTTATCTACATCTCCACAGCCCTGTCTGTGTGTGTGTGTGTGTGTGTGTGTGTGTGTGTGTGTGTGTGTGTGTGTGACCTTTCAGTGGTCACACACACACACACACACACTTAAACACTCTCCACAGCAGGGTACAGAAACCAAGACCAAAACACTCAAACCTACAGATCTACAAAAATCAAACAGTGGTTTAAATATACTGAATAAAATGCATTAACACACATCTCAGTAATCTTCATTTGAATGTCACCTTAAAAATACAAAAGCTGATGTTTGATTCGGTGAACTGGGATCAGTCAATAACAGCGTGAAATGAGCCTGCGGAGCGACCCAACCCTGTTCAACACTTCCACAAACAAGACGCATATAACGGCACATTCCACCATGACAGCCGCTGTCCTGTATCAGCATGCATACTAAGAACATTCAACCACTATAACCTATGATGACAAAGCTTAATCATCACATCCCAGCTCATCGAGCAACACCAGACCAAGTTCAGGCTCAAGTGTCCTGACAGCACAATCTTACAATGCAACGCAATACAAAGCCAGCAGATCTGATATTATGATAAATATATACTTATGGTGTGATTAATTAATCCACAGCCCGATCATCCAATCATAGACGCATCTATCTCTATTCCATCAGTGTGCATCTCTCTCTGTCCATCTTTGTGTCTCACTGTGGGAAAACAACTCATTAATTTGGCTCTGATTATGGAACGGTCGGGGGGAGGGAGGGTGGATTTAGGGTCATTAATGAACAGCGACTGTTAAGACTACTACAGACTGCTAAAATACACAATCACATACAAATATATGCAAATCATGCACAGGAAATCCTCACATTCTTCAGCCTGTATGTCTGTCATCCGTCAGCGTCTGGTCTCTGCTACACCTTCCCGTCACTGCTTGTCTGTCTCTGTTCAGCAATCACAGCTGCTTGTGCATTTACTTCAATAATTCAGTTACACGGAGGGTGAGATACGGAGAGAGAGCGGGAGTGGATTGACCGTGAAAGGTCTTTGTCCAAATAACGTAATCACAGTTTCCATAGAAACCCCTGACCCCTGTTACAGCATTTGGTCGTGCACATAAACCCTAAAACACCCGCCGGCTCCGTGTGTCTGTGTGTGTGTGTGTGTCGAAGGTCAAGGACTGGGGTCTTTTTTTGCACACCCATGGCAAAAATTAGCCTAAAATGTGTTAAAACAGTATCCTAAAATTAGTGATAATCACACGTGACACAATTGATCACACTCTGCAAAATTACTGCTTTTGTGTTGTAAAGTTGTTGGGGGAGGAATCAAATTGCATAATGAAGAAGCTTTAATTCTGAACAAACCAAAGAATCAAGCAGCTACAATACAATCTAAATAGTAGTCTAAGTCTATATACTGTATCTGTCATCTGAAACAATGTACTGAAATTTAACTTCAATTATAAATCAATACAAGAATTATACTATGATATATATATATATATATATATATATATATATATATATATATATTTTTTTGTTTTTTATT